CCTATCCTCCTCCTCAATCAGTTGGCGAGAAAGACATTTCAGGATCTCGACCCTATCTGGTTGAACCGTATTGTCAACTAAGGTGGCCTCACCAGCCAATCTGTCGGCTTTTTCATTTCCCCTAACACCTGCATGGCCAGGGCAGAAAATCCATGTGAGCGATCGTATAGGCGTTGGTTCGATAGCCTGAATCCATTCCGTTCTCAGGAAACCTTTTTTGATCCTTCTGAGGGTACACATGGAATCAGTGATAAGAACAGCATGCAACTGATTTTGACATATATATATATATATATATAGAAGTATTTTCCTATTACATGTAGACTACGTTTATAGACGTATTTTCCTACTACATGTAGACGACGTATAATGGAGTATTTTTCTACTAGATGTGTTCCTCCACTTTCAGGCAGCCATATATGACATTCTCGAAAGTATCAATCATTCCTTTTATTTATACATACCAGAGTTTCTTCTGTTTTATTTTTGTTTTAGTAAGAGTTTTACAGCACTTGCAACACAATAAGGTCATATATAAGTGCCGAAGATTAAGAGAGTAATAAACACAACAACCTACAGACATCAAGAAAAGTTTTAGTGAGAATTTTACGGCACTTGCAACACAATAAGGTCATGTAAGACATCAAGAACAGTTTTAGTAAGAGTTTTACGGCACTTGCAACACAATAAGGTCATTTAAGACATCAAGAACAGTACCCCCTAAAGTCCACCAAAGACAGAGCATACCCGTTATAAGCTGCGATATATCTGGTCAACAGTCTCTGCTCCCCTGACGGGAAGTCTCCGTACAGAAAGAAGTGTTTGTCCGTGAAGAACTCGGGGAGATCAGGCAGTCCCGAGTCGGAGCCGTCATCGCCATCGTGTTTAGCGCCTGCTCCCGAGGGGCCTGGCTCATCCTCGTCTGTGGATCCCCCGTAAACATTGTCTTTGCCAGCAGCGTTGCCACCATCATTTTCAGCAGACATTTTCTGTTTTGTCGCGATCTCTCTCGCTCTGTGGACAAAGGCGATACTTTCTTTATTAACTGTTTAAACCCTGAGCTATTTCCACGGTTTCCCGGAGTTTTTTCTATGGTCACCTAAACCTGGTGCACTATGTCTCATTATAACGCAAAAGCTTGCCTCCAACTTCTTATATAGCGGAAACAAATGCTTAGTTTAGTCATTACTAAAAGACTTGGTTCGGGAATAGTTCCAAAAAACAACCAAAAACTAAAAAACAAGCAAAAACTAGCACTAAGTAAAACGAAAATGTTGTTACTAGTATCGGACACTGGGGTTTAAAGAGTTAACGTGACAAATTAGAGGGGTTGATCAGTCTAGAAATGAGAAGCTGGCTTTTCTGTCCTAAGTACCAGATTTGATTGTAAGCACAAGCACGAAAGGTGAGGGGGTACCTTCAACTTTTAAGCCAGGTATTTCACCCCTGATCCAAGGGAAGGGAGGATCAAACAACTTTTCTTTTCAGATATTGACAAATATCTCCCTCGGATGACTTAGGACAGTTGATACATATATTATTGTATTTCATAATATCTTTGCATTTTAAGTTAGAAATCAATGAAAAACAGGTCTTCATATGCAAAACAGTACCTGCCGAATTCCAAACACATACTATTTCAAAACTGAAAAAAAAAAAAGTCCAATAAAAGAGAACCCTTTCAAAATGCCCATCTCCCTAAGAGTAAAGAAACCCAGTCATTCAGAGGGAAACTAATCCATGTTCATGACAAACAATGTCCCTGAATCTAATGGACGACTGCAGGATAAGAAAAAAAGGCAATGATTGTACAAAAAAGGAGTGGAGATCTAAATCTAACTATGAAATGCGCTGTAAGAGCAAGAAAAAAATTGATACACTCTCTAAAGCAAATATTCTTTATTTCCTGTCGCTGCTGATACTCCTAAAAAAAGAATTACTAGGTATGAGCTATAAGGCAGAGCACTTATGCCAAGACCAAGAATAAGAGGGAAGCAACAATTCCTTACTAAATAAAAAAAGAAAAAGGTAAGATGCCTTACTTGCGTAGCTCATCCTCTGTGTCACCCCCGGAATCGGAATCTTCAAAGCTCACAGCCACTGGAACATGTAAAAAACAGACTATGCTAATTATCTTTATGAATTGTAGAAATGAGATTGTCTTGAACATCATATCGCACAAAACCTATTGGGAAGGCCACGAATCAGTTTACTAGTAGATTTACTGATGGATAACTTGACATCATTCTCACTGTTTTCTTCTGTTTAGATTTAGTAGAGGTTTTGCGGCGCTCGCAACTGCATATGGTCATATGAGCGCCAGAAGATTAGAGGTGTTACAAGAAAGGAACATACATAAAAAAAGAAGGGCAGATAAGGACGATAGATGTTTGGTATGAAAGAAGAAGCAAACCACACCAGAGCACCCGCCAACTAGGGCTGGGTCGCGAGCGCGAGAACGGAACTGAATCGCCACTCTTGCCTGCGGAACGCGATTCACTTCAGCGGAACGCGGAACAGTATCGCCAAACGATTCCCGACTCACTCCCCTGTCCCCACCTTGTGACTTGTTTAACCGACTGCTGAGTCAAGTCACGAGCGCAAGAACGGAACGGAACACTTAGTATGGCTCCCCTTATTTTACAAAAGATGACATAGTCCAACCCCCCTATTAAAACAAAATGAACGGGGTCCAACCAATAGACAGAAGGAATTTTATGGAGCCATTGTTTTAGCGAATCATGGGGTTGGGGTGGAAGGGGGGAGGGGTGAATTTATGGAGGTCACTAATTGAGGTCAGTAGATAGAGCAGCCCAACAAAAGGGTGTGGGGCGGAGAGGATGGCGGTACAACAAGAGTGGGACTCGCGCTCGCCAAGTGGCGTTGATATGACACTGTTCCGTTTCAGTCCGTGTTCCGCCACAGTTCCACGAGCGCTCACGTACTCGCGATTCATTGAAGCCGACTGAATCGCGAATCGCCACTCTCAAATTTGGCGAGCAGGATCCAGCCCTACCGCCAACCGCCCACTTGAACAAGTTTTCTAGTTTTAGTAGAGGTTTTATGGCACTTACAACTGCATACGGTCATATGAGCGCCAAGGGGTGGATGTCACCAGAGAAGTCCTTACAGGGAATCAGATTTACTCTGCTCACCTCTCTAGCCTCAACAGCACAAAGTCTGCTTCGACTATCAAGGCACCCTGGAAATAGAGGGTCACAAGAGTGTGACAAACATACAAACGAAGTAGAGGAAAATGACGATAGTAAGGATTAGGAAAGAAAAAGCAGCAGTTCCCGGTTGTAGATCAGGCACAGTCATGAGCATGACATGAATCAGCCCATTTACAGTTCTACTGTGCTTGAACGAGAAATGTCCCCCCTTTGAGCATGGCTAAAGACACTACAGTCAGTGGCACCGCCCCGGGGGTCCATATTCTCCAAAAGTAAAAACAAACAGCATGCGGTCAATAACAAACCTTTCTTTGGCGGTGTTTTCTTCCTCGCAGCTGGTCTGTCCTCTAGTGAGCTCTGAGTCGGCCGTTTCTCTTCTGTCCTTGGAGGGGGCGAGTCCCTTCTCTGCGGCTTCCTGCCTCTACTCTGATCCTCCTTCTCTTCATCTTCGCTACTTTCATCAGGAGACTCTGCATCTCCTAAACGATACCTTTAGTCCATAAAAAAAGAATTCTTTTTTTAAAAACCCAAATAAACAGTTGGCAACCAAATTTCTTCCTTCAAAAATTAACATTTGCAAATCTTGACAAACGCAAGGTCTGAACTGACATTTTCCTTTACCTTATCCGTACGCCCTGGGGTCATTTTATACCCCCGGGGTTGTACTCTTCACATTTAAGAATATGTACTTCTAGTGCGAAGATCTCTTTGAAACTTTCAGTATTTCACAAAAAATCATTTTGACAGACTGCTATGCAAAGCGTACGGATTGGATTAACGAGTAAATTTTCTCTTTGGAAAGCGGTGGCACAGAGTTCCCCACATCGAATGGATACGATAGTAAAACATGACATATGGATAGGGTTAATAGTTAACAATAACTGAGCATGATGCAAACCTTTAGAGGAGTAACAACAGGTAAAGAGCAGAACTAACTACACCAGACACATTTTCCCAGGCCCAGTTCTCACCTCCTCCACGGCTGTAATTCCTTCTTCTTATAAGAATCCACAACCCATGCCTTATTCACAATTTTCCCCTTTCCAGCAACTTGTTGATATTTGGGAGTGTTAGGGAAGGCACATCTGAGGGAAAAAAAAGGATTGAAAGTTAGAAAACAGCTTGGGCAGTAAACAGTTTATCTGAGAACAAAAACAATCCAAATTAACTCTTTATCTCCGGCAAGCTACTCCCAGCGGTTTGCGGTCGGAACCACTGCGTCGGTCATTCGCTGACATTCCTTTACGACTTCCACATCAAATTACTTTTTCGGCTTGCCGAAAACAGGTTTTTTTACCGCAAGTTCATTCATTAAATAAAAAACTATCAAAATAGGTTTGCTAGTTTCGATTTGATGACCCATTTAAAGGTGTTTTTATCATTTTCAAATTTAGCACCAAAAAAGGGCCCCGGCATAGAGGGTTTACCGCCTTGGAAATAAAAAGTTAATCCAGATAAAAAAGACCAAAAAAAGGAACCGTTCACACAAAGACATTTAGAACCATTCATGATAAACATGACATTAAACAAAAAGAATCACTACATACAAAAATATTTTTTTTGATGCTCATCATCATCATCCAGTGCCAGATCTGCGACAGACATCGGCGATCATGGTTCTCGATTCATTCCCTTGCTCGGATGCTCTTAAAAAAGCTACGTCTCCCTGACCTTTCTCCCATTACCCCTTTCATTAGGTTCCCTAAGCAGGTTGCTTTGGGTCTACCCCTGCCTCGTTTGCCTTCAATTTCGCCAGTGAGAGCTAGATGTAGAAGATATATATGTCTATTCAGGTGTCCCATGCTTATCATAAAGACTAAAAAAGAACAGCTTACATTCAACATCCCCCCAATCCAGCCAATTGTACCTACCGGTGGTGGTCCCTATTTTCACTGACACGGCTCTGGCGAATGGCGAGTTGTTGGCTTCAACACCCCCCCCCCCCCTTTAAAAAAACGAAAACAAAGAAAAAACATGCTAAGTTTAACTAAAACAAAAACCCACTTCCACTCAAATCAAATTCACATAAAACAACCGACGGCTCACAAGCAAAATAAAATAAAAAACACTCGCAAAAAAATATTCTGAACTCACACGAGATGAGTACACCCCCTGCCCCAGTCCGGCTTGTACTTGGCTCCCATCTCCAAGGCCTGGTCCCTCAGCTGCCCTCGGTACGGGTTCTGGAAGCCGCTCAGGACAAACGTCACGCCCGCCATCATCTTGGAGAAAGATCTGGCCGGGGACGGCGCTGCAGGTTCGGCTGAAGAAAACAAAACACAGACTCTGCTGAAGAAAACAAAACACAGACTCTGCTGAACAAAACAAAACACAGACTGAGCTGAAGAAAACAAAACACAGACTCTGCTGAAGAAAACAAAACAGACTCGCCTTGCACAAAGTTGTAATTTTTTTTTAACCTTTGAGCCTTGACCCCCCAGAGACTATAATACATATATTCTGGAAGGTTTAAATTTCGAATCATATCGAAACCATCAGTGGATATGCCCAAACATCCCTAAAAATGTTTTGTAAGTTTACAAGTAGAACTCGAGACTCCCCCTACTCACAACCCCCCACCAACTCCTATTTTCTCTTCAAACCCCAACACTAACATGAACTCACTTTTGGTGCGTTTCATGGCAGATTTCTCTGGCTTTGCCGCGCTGGCGCTTGAACTAACAGAGCTGAGGCTCGTCGACTGCTTCTTCAGGGCCGGCTTCTGAGGCTCCTCCTCTTCCTCCTCCGTGTCACTTTCATCTTTTGACGATTTGGCAACTTTGGATTTTGACTTGAAAAAGTAAAACAAAATCCATATATCTTATTTCAATTATCTTAAACAAAAAAAACGCATCATCTTAACACATTACACCCTAACTCGCCCGGGATCCGCTCCACCCTGACTCGCCCGCGCCGACCTAGCGTCTTTAGAAACGAAGTCTCCCCTTGACGAGACTCTGGGGCCCGGATTTTGATTTGCATAGTTATAGCAAAAAGTTTCTTCTTTCATTTGATACCGAAACGAAATTTTTCGGGCCAGTAGTTTTAGTATTAGAGCTGGTCGAAGTGCGATTGCGTTACTGACATTTCGAAAGTGTCTCGACTTGTTGAAAAGAGACACAATTGATTTCGAAAAGGGAAATAACGATGGATTTGAGCAAAACCAAGCATATGATAAATCAGATGGCTCAGATTTGATGAAAACGTAGCAAGGGTTTGGGGTGATTCCGATTGATCAGACGGAGAAAATCTAGAATTTAGATCTAAGGCCTGACCGCGAGGCAGAGAGTGAGAGTGACAGGTCGGACACCCCGATTGAACTAAAGTTAAAACATTTCCAACAGTTTGCGCATACATAAAGTTATATTTTTGTGAAACTACATTCAGTTTTCTTTTTAACTTTTATTTTTTCAAGATTTTTGGAATTCGTTTAGTATTTTTAAAATATGTTTTTTACACGCTAGTATTCACGGGAGGTGGGTTCCTTCCCCTTGCTTAGGATCTAACAATGGACTTCCCATCCAGGCCCTTAGGGTGTAATGTGTTAAGAAAAAGGTTAACTCATGACCCATAAACTAAGGCAATAAGCCATCACAATGAATGAGATTAAAATCATACTTTCACATATTTATACAACACCCTTTAAAAGAAAAAAGTTGAATTAAAATTTGTCAGTTTAGGCAACTTCAAATATAAGACGGCCAAAAGCAACCCCTCCAATATATATAATGTTTTAGAACTCGATACAGTGATTCCTGTCAAGTGAGTCATTCTGGCAATCATCATCATCACCAACTTAACAATTCCCAATTGTCACAATTAACAATTTTTCTTGTTTCGTTTTTCTAGAAAACATAACAATTTGCACCATGTCAATACATTTTTACGTAACCAACAAATATGGGCACCAAAATGAGGACATGGGAAAAAAAAATAATTAAAAAATAAAGTCATTCTGGCAAGCCTGGAAATGCAAACAAATGTGACAGTAAAATCCTGGGGACCAACAAAGGAAAAGCTTACAGAATGAGGTGGTGATGATGCTGCGGGCCGTTTGCGTGGTTCGTCCTTTGTGACAGGTGTAGATGACAAGGATGGCGTAGAAGAAGACGGTTTATTCTTCAGCTGTTCATCTGCTAGCCTTGTGGCAGCCCTCATTGCTGCAGCTCCTGATACAGAAACAGAAAACTGGGCACTTAACACATCGATGACTGGTGACAAGAATACTCGTATCCAGGCAGCCACCTGACTACGAGAAAAATCCCAATCCCTTTCTAATTCTATAAAACTTTCTCCAGTCCATTATTTTTCCAAATTTTTTAAAAACTACTTTCAAGCTGCCGTTCTTGCCCTTGTGTACACTTATTGTCTGCTAATTTAGTAGCTGTTTGGAGGGAGTTATTGTGGGTGGTTGGCGGGTGCTCTGGTGCGGTTTGCTGCTTCTTTCCTATCAAACATCTATCGTCCTTATCTCTCCTCCTTTTCTTATGTTTGTCAATCTATTGTAACACCTCTAATCTTCGGCACTTATATGACCTTATTGTGATGCAAGTGCTGTAAAACACTTACTAAAAAAAGGGGGAAGTTATTGCAGTTTTCGTGTGGGCGCCTACATTTGTGGGTGTGGCTGGAGGCAGCCCAGATGGATGTGTCTGCTCAGGGAGGCAACTCAGGTGGAAATGGGTGAAGAAAACGACACACAGTGCTGAACAAAATAGTGGGAAGTAGTTGTTTGCAAAAGTGAATGTCTTGGACCGACAGTCTTTACAGCTGATTTGACTAAAGAAACGGTGAAATGGTAACGGTTTAACGCCCCTATCAACACTATTGGGTTATTGAAGAGGGGGGGACCTTAGAGTTTAACGTCCATCTCCGAAAGGACTGAGCCAAGTGGGAAATTTGTGTAAAGTGCCTTTCCCAAGAACACAACGTCGGACCGAGCTGAGGCTCAAACCCCCAAACTCGGGTTTGACTGTACTGAACGATGTTAACTCTAGGCCTAGGTCAATGTCCAGTCAGTATGACAAGTCATAATGACCATGTTGACCCATAACCAATGTCCAGTCAGTATGACAATGACCATGTTGACCAATAACCAATGTCCAGTGAGCATGACAATGGCCATGTTTTGGGCTGTAGCAGTGTGATAACAGTACCACTGAAAAGATGTAGTCAATGAAAACTCTTTTAACACATTGTAAAAAAATGGTGTAACTATTATTTTTTTATGGAAACACATTTTGGTCAAAAAGTGATATTTTGTCATTATCAGTCTGTAGGTCAAAATGGTCAGTAGCGACCTTGATACCTTTCTTTAGGCACACACACAGATATAGAAGAAGCAGAATTTGGAGACAACAACAGAGCACCTGCCTAAAATCCACTCATTCAAAAAAAAAATGTTTAGTAAGAGTTTCACAGTGCTTGCAACTGCATAAGGTCATATGAGCGCGCATCCACTCATTAAAACAAAGTAGTAAAAAAAAAAAAGAACACATCAATGCCTTTTTGTATAAACCAACCACATACAAACACAAAGTCGATATTGCAAATAAGATATGAATTACCATTTGGCGTTGGAGGTGCATCAACTGAGCTGAGCTTTGAGCGGTTAGCGAATAATGAGCCTACTGGAATGTCCTCCTCTCCACTCTCCCTCACAGAGAAGGCACCAAATCTCTTCACCTTTGGCTGAAGAAAAATAATGTGTTCAATACAGATGCCTCAGGGTTCTTACTCTTGTTGTGTTGTTTTAGTAGAGGTTTTACTGCGCTCGCAACTGCATAAGGTCATATGAGCGCCAAGGGGTGGATGTCAACAGAGAAGTCCTTACAGGGAATCAGACTTACTTTGCTCACCTCTCTAGCTTCAACAGTCTGCTTCGACTATCAAAGCACCCCGGAAATAGCAGTTCACAAGAGAGTGACAAACATACAAAAGAAGTAGAGGAAAAATGACGATACTAAGAATGAGGAATGAAAAAGCAGCAGCTCCCCCTGTGTTGTTCCGGCATAGTATGAGCATGACATTGATAAATCAGCCCATTTACAATTCTACTGTGTATAAGAACATGTTAATATCCCCCCTTTGGGAATGGCATAAAGACACTTCAGTCAGTGGAACTGCCCCGGGGGGTTCATACTCTTGTTTAGCGTTCAGAGAGATGAAGAGAATGACATTAAAACAAAGATGGTCAATAACACACTGCCTCCTACAAGAAGTGTTCCAAGTGATCTTCATCATCTCATCACAGATGCCTCAGGCAGAAATATGGTGAAGCTTTCTTGAAACCCCCGAAATCTGGGTTAGCCCGCTTGTCCTTAAAAGCAACTAATTATTCTTATACCATCAGCATATCAACTTAACCCTGTTACTGTCAGCGGTTAACTTGCATTGTCACGGGAAAGTCTTAGGAACAAGAGTGCACCTTTAGACGTAAGATAGAAATGAGTCCTTATGAAAGATACAAAGACTAGAAAACTATATATTTGGAAAGTTCTTTGAAAAAGCAATACCATACGCTGAAAAAAATTTACCATTGTGACATCTCTCCCCTGAAATCTGCCAGAAATCTCGGAAACTGCCCTGAGGATCCGATGGAGCCATTTTCACAGACATGCAGAGTGGCGTTTGCACTGGCAGTTCTAAAATAACAGCCAATCTCTTTCGTTCCTCTGGCTCAAAAGATCTCTCATAACTACTCCTTTTTTTAAAATGAGGGCACATTCGTTCAGCGTCGGTATTTTCGATGTTTGTGTAGACCGTTTTCGGAAACCAGTCTGGTAGCAAAGAAAACTGCTAATCTAATCGGCACTTGCAGTAATTCGGTTAAAAAGCGTGCTGGATTCTATTCAATCCTAATTTCAAATGCTTGTATGTCAGTAAACGTAACGATGTGAGACAGCTCACCTCAGAGTCCCCAGCTGATGGCGGTGAATGAAACTTGACAAACGAGAGACCATACTGGGAGGTCTGAAAGAAACAAGAAAACAAATTTTAGTCCACTATATATATATACACACACCTAAAATGTTTTAGTTTAGTTTTAGTAGAGGTTTTACAGCGCTCGCAACTGCATAAGTTCATATGAGCGCCAGAAGATTAGAGGTGTTACAAGAGAGTAACAAACATAAAAAAGAAGAAGGGGAGATAAGGATGACAGATGTTTGATAGGAAAGAAGAAGCAAACCACACCAGAGCACCCGCCAACCACCCACAAAATGTTTTAAACAGACAACTGAACTCCAGATTTCTAGACAAAACTAATCACAAAAATTTTTATTTTTTTATGATGACCTATGTTTCACCTCAACACCTATGGACAATATTGCTTGCCGAATTAACGCTGATTTACAGGAAATCAGTGATTGTATTTGACCAATATGACATTCAGATAGTAGCAACGCTAACAAGAAAACAATGACAGAAATATACCAGTACCTGTTTTTTGTTTTAGTAGAGGTTTTACGGCGCTCGCAACTGCATAAAAGGTCATAAGAGCGCCAGAAGATTAGAGGTGTTACTAGAGAGTAACAAATATAAAAAGAAAAATAAGGAGGATTTACATGTTTTTAGTTTTAGTTTCAGGAGAGGTTTTACGGCGCTCGCAACTGCATAAGGTCATTTGAGCGCCAGAAGATTAGAGGTGTTACGAGAGAGTAACAAACATAAAAAAGAAGGGGAGATAAGGACAATAGATGTTTGATAGGAAAGAAGAAGCAAACCACACCAGAGCACCCGCCAACCGCCCACGAAGATACATGTTTGATAGGAAAAAAGGAGGAAACCACACCAGAGCATGTGCCAACCACCCACCGTATAACAGTACCCGAAGGGGGAAAAAAAAGGGATTAAAAAAAAAAAGAAAGTCATACAACTTCCAATAATGTTCACATTTTCAGTAAATATACCTTGGAAAAAGGCTGCGTGCACACAATCTTGACTCTGTCCCATTTCTGAGCTGCGGTGAGTTTATTCAACTTATCTTGTCCAAACATTCGAACTCCTGTTCTGTTTGTCCCATTGCGGCTTTCCAATGGGGTCATAAAAGAAGAGGCAACTAACAATACCTGTGACGTGAAAAAGTAGACAATTAAAGGAACAGCTTAGTACAAAAAGGAATAGTAAATGGTTTATTTGATTAAACAATGTACTGAAAATTAACAAAGTAATAGAATAGTCCCCTTATCACCAGTCAGGTAAAAATTACCTAAGTAATACAATAATATCAAGATCTTTGTCTATAGAATAAACACAACCTGAAAGGGAATGAGATCAATACCCAAACGCCTCTGGATGAACTCACAAACTAAACATGAACCAGTTCAAAATCATTTCTAGAACAAAACCAAGATGAACATTCCCAACATAATCACCTCAAAATCAGTGTCAACTGCTGCTGTAGCTTTTCCAACAAGAATTTCCACAAATGCAGATCCATCGTTGCCAATGTCAATTGAGTGTATTTGAGACGATTTACTGAGCTGAAAAGAGAACCAGGCAATCAATTCTTTAAGGCATGGCATATATATGTATACAGAGATATAATATGTGTAATGACAAATGTTTGCATCTGATTTGTCTGAATAGTTTTTATTTTACCAATATTTTGAAAGGGCAATGTCTGGGGGTTATGCAATTTTTTTTTGCGCCCAATTTATAACAAAATCATTTATCATAATGCAGAGGCGACTGACTTGGTCTGTTACAGCTAAAAAATTTATAGCACAAAACTTCGCCAAATTTTTCACGAAACAGAGACCTGTTTTCGGCAATTGCCAAAAAGTAATTTGATGTCAACGTAGTCAGAAAGGAATGCGCCCGAGCCGTTGATGTCAGCGGCTCACCAGCACAGCGTTACCGACCGTGAGCCGCTGGGAGGGGCTTGCCGGAGATAAAGAACAAAGAGTTAAGATGGTCAAACAGTCAGAGATGCGCTCAATATGACCGTATGTAGTTGCGAGCGCTGTAAAACCTCTACTAAACCTTTTTTTAAAGTCCGAGCCTCTACCTGAAGAACGGCAGACGCACTTTTCTCTCCTGCCGTGGCACACTTCCACTTGTGAGTCCCATCAGATTTTAACAAGTTCTCCGCAGGGTTGTTCTGTACAGTAGAAAAAGCACAAACATATAGACATGATATTAACGAGGCTATAATCATATTTATCACAATCTTTTTAAAGTTCTAATAAAGACTAGTACACTATTTCATTAACTTTGAAACAGCGGAATTAACAAAAACTGCAATAAACGTCATGTCCAATGCACAGACATAAAATTGTACATGATACCATATAATCTATATCTTGGTTTTTCCCCCCTCTGATTTTAGTACAAAACAAACTCTTTTTCAAGCTGGAAGTTAATTCCAAATCAAAATAGCATGTCACATTTTCAGGTAGGCCTATTGATTTTTTTAAAAAACTCTATAATTTTTTTTTCGAAGTGATCATTTCTCCGAACGTTCGGGAAAAAAACTTTAACTCTATTTCTCCGAACGGTTTCAGTTCTCGATATTTTTTGGTCATTTACGAGATTTAGGCGTCATCTTTCTTTCTGCCATTCTGCGAGGACTGGGAAGTTCAGAAGCACTTTTTGTATCAAATTCAATTTCTAGAGCTAGAGATTTTTAATTGTCTGAATATTCAGATACTTCAATTGTGGTTGGGGCAACATTCCCGGACTATACTTCAACTTCATTTGAAAATACCTTCAAAAGGTACTGCGAGAAAACAAGACTAATCGACCTTTGCTGTAACCTATTTTTCATTTAGTCATCCAGCAAAAAATAAAATCCCTCCACCCCCCAACCACGCCCCGTTCACACCTACTTAGGCCTACACAACACACACACACAGACACACATGTGGGCCAGTCCATTCGCAATTATTCAACAAATCTCGAGAACGGAAACCGTTTGGAGAAATTGAGTTCAAGTTTATTTTCCCGAACGTTCGGAGAAATAGAGCCGGCCTTTTTTTTTTTGGCACCCACTTTAAACACTCCATTCACTGTCTAGTCAGAACCTTCCATACCAAATCTTTTTTTTTCCTTAAATATTTTTGCCCCACATCTAGATCTAGATCTAGAAAGTATCACATAAAATCCACCTTTTTAGGGCAGAGCACATGAATTATGAAAGTATAGGTTTCGAAGGGTGAAATAATGATAGCAGAGAAAAGACTTTCCAAACTGCACCTCACCGACTTACATCTGAAGGCGCTTTTTCGGTAGTTCCCACCCCCCTTATTTGGGTCTAGATCTAGATCTAGATATATAGATCCCTGCATCACCGCGCTACTGTTTGGGTGCGCAACCCCCGGTCTCCTGCTTTGTTTTGGATAAGAACAGCGGAAACGAGGTCACTTTCTGTGAGCATGCGCAGAATGCAGCTTATTTCACTTTCGTTTTGGAGGTTCCTGTCAACACACGTGATTCTACAGTGTCGGAAAGTTTTGCCCCTTCATATTAATGGTTTTCGTAACCGGTATCGGTCAATTTACTAAGCGCTTGAGTAGTCGATTATTTAGCACATCTAGCTAATCTAGCTCTAATGTATCGTAGAATGTATACTAGAATCGATAAATACTATCGCAGGCTGCTTCTTAATGCCCAGGAACATGCCAGATAGGGTTGCGCACTGAAGCAGACCAAATTTGTGCAGTCCGTTTCAGTGCGCAATATCGGCTTTTTTGCTATTTGGCATTGATAGTGTGGCTTCTAGGCCCTTTGTTTGTTTTACTTATTAAGTTATTTCTTTATGACCTGCATTGTGCACTGAAACAGACTGTTTTCCTTCCATTTGGATGCAATATATTGCCATTAGAAGATGATAAGTTAATGTATTCATGTCAAAATTAATTAATATGGAAATATAATCTCCAAAATGTTCAATTTCTTCTTTTCATGTCTTTTTCTTCTTCTTTTTTGCCCTTTTCCTTAAAGAATACTAGTCTAGGTATAGTCTAATTCTTGTTTTCTTCTTTCACTTCCTTGTGTCCACAGCACCTTTCTTTTTGGATTTTCAATTTCTTCTTTTCACGTCTTTTTCTTCTTCTTTTTTGTCCTTTTCCTTTTAAAATACTAGTCTAGGTATAGTCTTATTCTTGTTTTCTTCTTTCCCCTTCTTGTGTCCACAGCACCTTTATTTTTATCCATTATCAAAACACATACACAAGGTGTAAGGAAATCTCCTGTTAGGGGGCGCACAGCTCCCAAAAAGAACACGCCTAATTGACCTTGGCCTTCCGTTATGGTCAGTACAGGAACTTCTTGCAAGGAAAAGAAGACAAGGCAAGGATAGAGAAAGATGAAAAGTGTCAGGAAAGAGCTAGATCTAGATCTAGAGCTGTAAACATGGTACTATTGCGCACCCAACCAGACGATATGTTGCACCAAACCAGAAACTTTGCGCACCAAACCAGACACACGTCACCAAACAAACACCACTACAACATATAGAAATTTTAAACTGCTGTTACAGTAATGCGCTACACCGTATAGAGAGGAAGTTTTTCTAACTTCTGGTGAAAAAATCATGAAGATCGACCTGTAACTTCCAGAGATATCCACAAAAGATCGCTTACTGTATATCGCACCACAGGATGTACTAGTCTAGATCTATATGTTTGATTCACGGTGAGCCAGAGATATCAAACCTATCAACTGCAAAACATCAATCAAATTATGGTAAAATTCAGGGGGGCCTGTAAACCCCCCCCCCCCCCCTATATATTTAGGTCAGGGGGCAAGCCCCCCCCCCCCCCCCTTTACACTTGGGATTTGGAGCAAGGCAAAAGCCCTACAAAGCCAAAACTGGTGCCGGTGAAAAAATAATTGGGGCATTTGGAGGGTGGGAACTAGATCTAGATCTAATCTAGATATCTAGATCTACAGATCTAGATCTAGATCTATTGGCAACAACAGTAAAAAGTAGTTGGCGCGATTGTCGGTTTGTTTACCTTATCAGCACTGCTACAGGACACAACATGCTGGACTTCAATCTCCGGCATAATTAATGGTTAATTAACAAACATCAATTGAAATATCAAAATGATGTGTCTTTCACAGAAGGAAATACATTAAAAAGTCCAGGTATTTGTAAGCGCCCCTTGTTCCTCTTCTCAAGTGTATTACATTATAACAACAGTAGTAACAGGTCAGCAGTTTGCGTTGTTCATGTTGTATCTGTCTGTCTTTGCAGTTCGCTCTATTTCGCTTTCCAGCGAGCCCAGATTTTTTCCCCTTTTTCTGTCGAGTAGAACTACACGAGGGTTTGTGTTTTGAACAGCCAAAATACAAATTGAGATGACAACGTTCGCACAACATAATTTTATACAGCGGTTCTTGACTCTTAGCCTAACGTTATCGAGCGGGTGCCCGGTTGATATTACTGCCTGAACTACATTATATGAAATAACTCGTGGAATACCGCAACCAAATTCAACTTTTTTTTCTTCAGATTAAATGACCAGATGACTAACGCTATATTAGTGTCACCTCGAACGTGCCTAAAAAAGAGCTGTCCTATTATAATGGTAGGGCCTAATAAAAATTTGTGTGATTTTGTTTGTTTTTCAAAGTGAAAGCAGTTACCAACTCAGACTTTTAAAAACGTGCAGAATAATTGAGCAGGTGTCCGCCTTGACTCTTACAAGTACATGTACAAGTCACAAGGCTATTACAGTGGAACTCGGATTCAACGAGGTCGCCGGGCCTGACCTAAAATTTTGTTGAATCCGAGTATTCGTTATAGCAAACACGAGGTTTGTGTAGATAATTACAGGCACTGAGCAAGTAATGTATAAAGAGAAGTCGAAAGTAGTGCATGAAATGCCTGCACATGAGCGGTGTAAAAAAAAAAAAGAACGATTCGTTCAAATGCACACGCCTGTGTCATCTCGATTGTTCACCAAAAAGTTGTGTTGCTGTGTAGAGCCTAGCATACGGCAACTTTTGATTCCATTCCACTCACAATTCATTACGTAGATCGACGTCAAGACTAGACTAGCTTATCATTGTAATAATGACCAGTTGCCGAGGGGGGGGGGGGGGGGGAGACTGACGCGTTTGTATCTGGGTGGGACGTTCAACGCCCGCTAGAGCCCCCCTCCTTCCCGACACGCACACACACAGTCACACGTGTGCAGACCGCCCATCCGACCCGACACACGCCAGAGTAGACACGTGCACGTGCCAACAACGCATGTGTTGGTATGAAAAAAGGCCGCTGATTGGTCGCATGCAATCGGCTAAGTGAATAATGGTTCATGATGCGGATGCAATGGGTGATTTCCGGGAATAGATAAAGTTCGTTCTGGGAGAAAAATGAGTGAAGCCACGTCTGCGGGGGTGTTCACCCACGAAGCGACCTCGTTGAATCCGAGCACGCTGATTTAAGTGCTCGTTGAATCCGGGTTATTTTTTAAAATTGATTTTAAGGACTGGTGGGGCACCTGAGGTCTATTTTGGCTATTACAAGGCCTAGAGTGCCCATATTTGCTGTGGGACATCGCGTGTTATTGGGAATTTTAAATCAGTAGTTCAAAAAGTATATTGTGAATTGGTTGCTATGGAAACGGCGGCCATATTGGATTTTGTATACCTTTTTCAATCTCATCTTATTCCCTTATTTATTAACCGATTTACTTCTAATTTGGCATGCCAACAGTAAATATGTAGCTCTTAAATTTGGCATGTTGAATTTTTTATATATGCTTTAGTTTTAATTTTATGACACTTACAATTGGGATGTTGCAAAAAAGTGAAAAAAATGGAAAATTCATGCTTATAAGCCCATAAATCAAAAACTACACCATTAATAAAAAAATTCAACAAGCCAAAATTTAGAACTAGGTGTTGTTGGTATCCTGTGAAAGTTATATTGAAATTGAACCATAAACAGAGCAGAAAAATTGGATAATGTGTGAAAAAAATAGAATTGTGAGAAAACAGCTGATACAGGTAAGAAAAGGCTAGAAAACATGTGCTTTCGATGAAAAACCTGACAATAAAACACAACTTTAGGGTGTAGCAAGGCTTACATACGTTTCTGGGTATTGTTCAGGAAATGTCCAGGTACTATAATATGTAATAAACCTAATTTGCAAAAATTGACCCCAAGACACGATTTCTAGCTGCCCCACCAGCCCTTAAAGAAGAAGAAAAAACGGGGAATTTATCTCATCTCGTTGAATCCGAGTTCTACTGTATACTGGTGGCATCAAGTTCAGTTCGAAATATGAGAGCATTTTCAGAAATAAACTAAAACCATGTTTCACCCCCCCCCCCCCCCCCCCCCACACACACACACACAAAAGCTTAAAGCTTCTTTCTTTTAGAAATGAGAAAAATAGAAGTTAAAAAAATGAGCTAGGATTTCACTTCGGTTGGGATGTTCTTGTGGCTGAGCAGGGGTGCTAGCTGGTAGGTCACTGCATTTGCCTTCATAATTCTTGTTACTTTTTCTTTGTCCATACGCCCATCTTGTGTGAAGATGCTTCCCAAATATATTTGAATTCCTCTACTTGTTGGAGTTGGGTTCCATCAATAAGAATGTTGAGTTTCCCTGAGTTTCTGCTGGCCTTCATAACTTCTGTTTTTGAGATGGAGATTTTCATGTTCAGGTGTTTACATTTCTCGATTCGTTTTGTGGTGGGTTTTTGTATTTCCACTCAATCTGTAATGTACTCTGGTCATCAGCAAATAGAAGCTCATTCAGTTCACTGATGTTGTCATTTGCTGCTTTTATGATCTTATCCATGTAAGTGATGAAGAGAAGCGGAGAGAAAACACAACCTTGTCTCACCCCAGACCTGATGGGGAACCAGTCCGATAGTCCTTCTGTTGATCTTACGGCACACAGGCTGTAAAAGCCATGATGTTCTCCAGCAAAAATTGTCCTCTTACACCATATTCCTCTAAGACCTCCCAAAGTTGACATCTTTCTACCCGGTCGAACGCCTTTTCCTGATCCACGAAGACGATATTGAGGTCTGTAATGTGCAATGGCAGTCTCACACAACTGTCTAAATGCGAAGATAGCGTCAGTACAGCCCCTGCCTTTTCTGGAGCCAAACTGGGATTCACTGAGTTGAGTCTCTACAATTGTAGGTCTCATCTTCATTTCCAGTATCTTGGCAAACATTTTGCCTGCATGGCCCAGCTATTGGTAGGGCAATGCCCACTTTTGGTGTAGGTCAAGATTTCTGGAAACCCCCGAAATCTGGTTTAACCCGCTTGTCCTCAAAAGCGACCAACTGACTACTTTTTCCTTAGGTACACGCTGGTCTGTTTTCCGTCGAGTTCTTGATAATTGTGTCTGGTCAGCATTATATTCGAATAATCTTTTGGAGGCAGGTGTTGATGAACGTTCTGTCTTCTCCTAATGATTGTGGCAACACTTCTCCAACTCTGGGCACCATAAGCCTACAGTAACACCGATATTGCCTTTTTCCATCTGGGTGAGGGTACAGACCAGGGTTGGTGATTTTTTTCTGATTTTTAAAAATTTTAAATTAAAAAATCGATTTTAAAAATTTAAATCAGATT